GACCCGCGCCGGCGGGAGGGCGTGGGGAGGCAGGCCGGGCGCGCACGCTGCCGGGCTGTACCGCCATCCCCGCTGCCGCCCGGACGGGAAGTGAGCCGCCGAGAGGGTCCTGCAACCGCCCGCACCCGGGGCGAAGCATGGCGGCCGCCAAGGTAAGCGTCGGCCCGTTGCCCCGGGGCGCGCGTGCCGGCCAGCCGGGGCCCCGGGGCTCGGGAGCCTCAGGCGTTCACGTGCCGAGTTGGTGCAACGTGGAAAACAAAGAGAGAGGGGCGCGGGGCAGCTGTTCCACCTTGCATCAGTGGGAGAAGGGAGGTGACCCCTCCTCCCGGGCAGCACATGTGGCCTGTGCGGGGACGGAGGCCCGACCTTGCTGTAGGAAACTTTGCCGGCTGAACCCTCCCACTTGGCCCGGGAGGGGAGTCGGTGCCTGGTTGGCGCCCTGCGGGCTGAGCCAAGGTCGGCCTGGAGAAGCCCGGTGGGCCCGGGGACATCAGAGCCCCTCGGCCACCCTAGAGCGCACCTGCTTCTGACCCCGGTTGTTGTTGACTGGGGCTTCTTCCCGACAGCCCGGGCTGAAGCCTGATCCTATTAGGTTTCAAAGGCCCCGCCCTCCCGCGGTGGGGAAGTCACCTTGACTTCCGTTTTGGAGGCTGCTCGGAATAGTTGGCTTGCGTGCGCGTGTGTGTAAAAACTCCAGAGGACCACTATCCCACCCCCACTTCTCATCCTTCAACCTCCTCTCCCCATCTGACAACACTTACATACCGGCCTCTGAGCGTTTGGGAGGCTTCTTTTTAGAAATGACAAAACAGATTGTTCTGGGAGCCTGTAACTCTTGTGATGTTTTACTTAAAAGGAATTCTGCGTAATGTGAATCATTCACTAACCCAGAGGAAAGGCAACTCCGACAGCTTGACCTTTACTCTTTCACCGTTTTTTGAAACCTGGACACCATTTCAGTCTCTTTGGACTCCATTTCAACTTTTCTGACAGAATACCGTATTTAGTCCC